TACAAACATCATGGAATACTGGAGATTGTTTTTTTTATCTCTACTAGCGTTTTATAACACGTATCAACGACGCGCGCGTATCATCGTTTATCATTCGTAGTCTCGCACGTTTTGCTCAACATCCGGCAAATCGTACTGACCTGCGCGCGATGATTTTTCCACCCCCTGTCGAAGCTATTCTGTAGTACTTCTTCTTACGTTACGAAACGACCGACATTTAATCCTACAAAGTATGCCTTAACTTACAAACACACACTGCGCTACATGGCTGTACACAATCAACGATAACCTATTCAACTTTATCTTCCACCCTCTCTACCCTTACCGTCATCTCGTTCACTTTCGAGTTTCCTCCGAAGGAAACGAAGGAAACACCGAGCGAACGCAGATCCGACGTAACGTTCGAAACGAGGATCGACGAAGAGGAGAGACGAATCCTCTTCCGCGACGCTCGGCGTTCCCCGGCATAAAAAGACAAAAAAAAAAAATACAAAAAACGAGTTTCGATGCGCCTTGATTTCCCGAAAATAATATTGCCCCGTCGTTGACGCGAGTAAACGTTTTCAACAAACAGCCGTTTTTTTTTTTTTTTTTTTCACTGGCTTTTAAATCGTTTCGATGGATGATCAAACCTTCCGTGAATATCTCGCGTTCTCGTTTGTTCAACAAAGAAGTTTGCTCGCTAGCCAAGCAACTTTGATAAAAAGAGCACGAGAGTGAGCGAATGAAAAACTGATAATTTTTCTTTTTCTCTTTTTCTTTTGATTTGTCAAGTTTCATCGAAGGGTGCAGTTGATCGCTGCTTGATTACCTTCGACCCTCCCACGTTTTAGGGGAGAAGTTTTCGTTTCACTTTTCCTTGCACCGCGTGCCAAAAGCAGACACAGCGTCGTGAGTTCACTGATTCCACCCTTTATATTCCTTTTTTTTTTTTTAAAAATACCTCTCGCACCGTTCGTGAATCTTCGTCTATCCTATTTATCACTCGACGAACGTAACACGATCTCATTTCAATGCATAGAAAGTGTCTCTTGCAACGAGAGAGGAATGCCCTGCAACGTGTAAGGTTTTAATTTCCTTCGTTTCTTTGTGATTTCAGGAGGTCGTGCAAGAGACACCGCCACACGGTCAACGATATGAAAAAAACGCAAGAGAATTTTATACATTTCGCATTGCCGCGAAACACGAGACTAACTTTTTGCCCCTGGTGTCACACCAGATGCGATACCTAGATGTTTAAATAATATTCGCCGCGAATATTCTCTTGAAACTCCGAAAGCAATTTCCCTTTGGAATCGACAAATGCGCTCAATTTACAATGGACAGATTATATATATATCCCGGAGTAGGCAAATTTGGTTTCATAGTTCTTTTCACCATTGGTGAAACGTGAGTTGGCAATCGCGAAGAATAGATAAGAGTGGAACTGTTTCTACGCTTCTTCGTCAAAATTTCTTGCGGGTGATTCATGCAGAAAAAAATTGTTAAAAAATTTGAGATTATTCTCGGTTAATTGCACGAACGAGAAAATTTAGTTCGCATTCAGCTTTACGGATGTTCAGGCTGCCAACGCGATCCGTAAAAGTTCCCTTTATTCTCAACGATTCCCCGAGCTTACGTGCGTTTTTTTAAGAATCGCAACATTGCGAAAAACAATTGCAACGAAGCTTTCCTTTCAATTTCCCTTTGAAAACGTTCCTCCCTTCAGCGTTGTCAATTTGGCAATTAGTCTGCAAATCGTTCACGCGATACGGCGATCCGTTTGGACCGCCATAACTGTGCATTCCGTAATATGGTTCCGATAATCCTCGATCTGAGGACAGGCTCGATTAAAAACAGAACGTCACGCTCCAAGTCGTCGTTCGAAACGACGAAAACCTTTTCCCGAGCAGGATGTCGAATAAATCGTCAGAGTTTAACGGAACAACGCGTGATTGTTTGACACTGTTTGCCTCGGATGACACCTCGTCGTAGCTTCTCGAAATATTTTTCGAAAACTTACCACGAGACATATTCTTCGCCGAAACACACACCCATGTGTATTCACACACGCTTGTTCCGCGTAATTACGAGGTGACAATGATAATCATAATAATGACAATGATGATAACAGTGATGATGATGATGATGATGATGATGATGATGATAATAGTCGTAATGACACACGTGTACAATAGTAATTAATACGTGTATACCGCTTACGGTCTAATTGTAAGACAGAATCGAACGGCACCGTTGAAACTGCAACACCGCGACACGATGGGAGGGGGTGGTAGAGTTTCGTCGCTGCTATTCGATCGACTTCGATTTTCATTCGTTCGTTACAATTCTGTTATATCCTCTGTTAGGGTTTAAAACGTCGTTTCCCCGACTATAATACGATATAACTAAGCATGCAACAATATTTGGAGTAATTATTCAATCCTCAAGTTAAAAATAGTAGTTGCAGTTGCAACACATGCACACGCTTCCACCTCTTTCTCACGCTCATTCGCTCCTCTACCCTTTCACTCGCGCATTCGCATCATCTCACTTTAATCGTCTCTCGATTCTTCGTTTCTTGTTTCTTCTTTTTTTTTTCTTTTTCCTTTTTTCATCCTTTTACAAAGTAACGTTTTACTTGGGCCCGGAGAAAGTATATAACTCTTTGCTCTCTTTTTTTCTTCTTTTTCCACTGCTTTTCCTATTTTGCCTCGATCACGTACAGAGTCACCGCAGCTATCGTCGAAGATTGATTGATTATTGTTCCGTTCTTCTTCTTCACCTCGAGTCGAAAGTGATCCACGCGGAGTCATCATCTTTTTTTTTTTTTCCTGGACAGTATTATCGCGTTTGCATGGCAATTTTTTGTTGTTGTTGTTGTTGTTGTTGTTGTCGTTGTCACGGAAGAAGGCTTCCCTTTTCTCTTTCTCTCTTCTCTCTCGACCACCGTTTCTCCGATCTCTTTTTCTCCACGACACTCGACGCGACTGCCATAAACATGCACATTGCGAACGTACAAAAATATATGTATTATGCGACATCTACAATCCGCTATAGGTATCTAAAAAGTCGTTATTTTTGTTGCTTTTTTTTTTCTTTTTTCTTTTTTTTTTTTTTTCTTTTTTTTTTCTTTTCCAAACACGCCCGGACAAATTTGTATCTCGCCCGGAGAAGGAGAAGAAACGTCGAAGAAGAAGAGAGACGTCGAGAGGACACGTGTGCCGGATACAGGGATCGAAGGACGGAAATTGAAGATTCTCAGGCAGGAGAGGAGAGGAATTTATTGGGTCATCAGTAGCAATTACGCGGAATCGCGAAATTACATGGCGGCTGGTAGGCCGGTAGATTTCTTTGTGACACGATGTGCACTGACCCGGATTTTCGGTATTCGGTTCGACAAGCCACGGCAAACGGGAGGAAGGTGAAGAAGGAAAAGAAGATAAGAGGGGGATGGAAGAGTCTCTCCTTTGGACTCTCGCGAGCTTTCTCGTGCTCCCGATTAAATTGAACTTATCGAAACCCGCGACATGCCGGAATTCCAACCTCTCCTTCCCCCCCCCCCCCCCCCCCCCCCCCCCCCCCCCCCCCCCCCCCAACGCTCTTGGTCCGTCTCTTCAACTTGCGATCGGCCAGAAATCGAGGAAACGATCTCCGCTTCGTAGTTCTCTGTGAACTATACAGAGATGGAACTTTCTGTGAATTCGAATTTTGAACTTGTCTGGGACGTTCCGCGAGAAAAAGAAAAGATTAACGAACGAGGAGATGCTCTCCGATATAACGATGATACTTTGGTTGTTCTATCTTTCTAGGAAAGATAGTTTTCGCAATTGTCCCTCGGTTTTTTCATTTTTAGAGTGGACGTTAATTTCAGATTCGCTTATCGTTACTATTTTGCCTTGTTCTCTGTTTCTACTAGGGCGCGAAGGAAGCATTTACGTGACAATTTTTATTTACCAGCGTGTAAAACTTTATGCTGTCTATTCGGCGGTGATTGCAGAAAATGAGACAAAATCTACTAATTGGAACCTTGGCGTCGGTTCTTCGATAAGTAGCGAGAAGACGAACGTTGCTCGAGGAACCTGGTGTATCAGCATACTGAAAAAGAGGGAAGTCCCGATAGCGCGCACCGATAGACGAATTATCTTTAACCTCTGTCATGTGCGCGATTCTTTTCATTTGCGTCGTTGAATTTGGTTGAAATGTATTTTTAACTATCTTGTACAGCGGTCTTAAAGTAGACAATAAACTGCATGGAGAGAACACAATTCAGACGTCTACGAAACGATTATCAAGAAAAGGGAAATGAAAGAAATAAAATATTTGTTGCAGGTGATCAATTTTTCCAAGTAATAAATTGTATTATTGTGCCACGCACGTCGAGAACGTTTTTGCCCCAAAATTGCAACATTTTCACAGTTTCAAGTATATTTAAGACAAATAATAAATTTATTGCTTCTGAATAATTTCGATCCAGTGACGAGTTGAAAAAGAAGGATACGACGAATTATTGTACATTATTTGGTCACTCGTTATGGTCCGCAAGTCCAGTTGCCAGCGCAAGTGGTGGTTAAAAGATAAAAAAAAAAAAAAAAAAAAAAAAAAAATACATACCAACGAGAAAGTTTTATTCTCGATCTGGAATGAAACCAACAGCGTGTAAGCTCGATGGACGATGATGCTGTCCGGACATCAGCGCTTTCAGCAACACGATGTTACAACCTGATATGCAGCTCGTTCGTGTCGGTAATCGTAGCTGCAACACGCGTAAAAACAACGGCGGAATAGATACACTTAAGCGGCTGGATACGTCCGACGATTCGTAATATTTTATTATTCATCTCCGACCATGAATTATTCACAAGGATAGAGGAGATCGGCGAACAGAAAAATCGTGGATGATGTTCAAGCTCATTATTTTATAAACGTTATAATACTCCTCCTCCCTTACTCTTCGTATTTGCATAGAATATTCCTCCTCGCGGAGGAACGATCCGAGAGAAAGTTTTAATTGGCGATAGCCTCGCAGACGGTACTCGATAACAGTTTCGTGTACTTTTTGTAAACACACGCGTGCCGAATTACTTGCTTGCTTTTAAAACAAAAGGTGCACTTTCAAATATAAAATATTTTTGCTTCAACTTCTTGTTAACTCCGGAAACGAACGATGAAACGCATCTATGATTAAAGTACATTTCATCAAAGAAAAATGTAACGAACGTCCGGATATTTTTTGAACTGAATTGATTATAAAGTGCATAACTGATCCTCTCTCGTGTTGCTTCTTTCCTTCTTTTTTTTGTTCCCCACGTGGAAAGAGAGAGAGAAAAAAGAGAGAAATCGGATTTTTACATATAATGCTGACAGATGAGAGTAGTAGATTTGAGTGAGTACGGCTTTGAAGCGGCACGCACGCCACCACTTGGCCATTTATCCGGGCCACGGGCAAAAATGGTCCTTTACAGCGCCCAGCTAGCCCGGTAATATACAAGAAAAGAGAAACCGGTAACTAAAAATATACGAGGCACAGACACGGGGCTTGAAACGAGCTGGAGTTCAAAGAAATGGATGGCCTTCAAAGGCCACTCGCGGATGGTTACGTGCGAATTTTTTTTGGGATCAACGGCTACGTTTGGATGATGGCGGCGCCTGCCGGACAAAAATATTTCCCCAACGTTTCGTTTGCTTTAGGGGCTGGTCCGCTTCGATCGACTAACGATTGCGCTGGCTTAGTTTGTGTCTTGGACACTCGATTATTTCTTATTATTTTTGATCATTTCTTTGTTATACAGCCGTTTTATACACCTGTGACAGAATTCGTTGGTTTTTATTGAAAAAAATTGAACGTTAATGGCGACTTAGCAAAATGCGTGAAAAATATGTTAGCATTATCGAGAGTTAATCAACTCTCTGCTGATTATCCATAATACCCGTTTAATTATACCACACCATACCATAACTATCCGTATTAACCAGGTTTCATCGCCATCTAATGACTTCGATATCCACGGGCTAATCCGTGTCCAAATACAGGCAGGGACAGGTTACACGCGATGACTATATTCCGTGTTATCCCAGGATCAACTCGTGCCATGATCACACGTATCTTGATCAACCATAAATACGCTCATATATATAGAAAAAAAAAAAAAAAAAGAAGAAAAGAAAAAGAAAGAAACGAGATAGATAATACCAGTTAATGAAAGTGTGTCCAAATGATATCAATGATCTGCCTGTTTCTCATTGAAAACGTACATCGTAAATTGAAGCGTTAGCTGATGATGATAGTTAACGATCGTGCAGCTATCGTATCTATAGAATTTATTCTACGGATGATACAGAAATCTTTTGAGTTTCAATTTGCAAGAGTCTATTATAAAACAGACCGGCAGAAATTCGTTCTTCTCGAATCGTGTCTCGTGGAGACATAGAGGAAATAGCATGGTCGAAGTTGCGCTAGTAGTAATCCCGAGAAAAGCTGTCTTTCGTGAAAGACGCGTGGTTCGGAGACGAATGTAATAGAGAGGCACGGTATATCTGGATCCAAGAGCAACGTCCCCTACATGGATATGTGGAGACTGGTGGCTGCGTGTGCCGAGCTACCGCATGGTCTATATCTGACGACGCATTATCTGCTTTACTGCCTGCAGCAAACTCGGTATTGCATCCTACTTGAGTTGTTCTCGTGACACTCTCGATACATCCTGCGCTGGTATATACCTATAGCACTACTATATTCCGCCTTTCTTTTGGGCGAAGAGACCTTTATCCACGTCTTCCATTTCCCATCTTTTTCCTTCCTTTTGTATCTGGTTTCTTGTCTGCTGTCTTTTTCTACTTGATTTTTTTGCCCATGGTGTCTTCTATCTGGTTCCTTTCCTAGAGTTTTCTTTTTTTTTTTTTTTCTTTTTCTCCTTACTCCTTCGACAGAGTATGTATCCTATCTTTTGCCTTATCGCGCGGCCAGCTACCTCTTACTTTATATGTTCCCTTGGCTTTCCTCTGCCCGTTCATTGACATTTCAATTTTTTCGCCTCTATCGAACACTTTGCTGTCCCCGAGATCCAATTTCTTTGCTCTTTTGATGTTGCTCTTTTTTCTCTCTCTCTCTCTCTCTCTCTCTCACTTGCGTTTACCTTCTTCGATTTTCTTCGTCGTTTCTATGTTGCTGGCTTCTTTCGTATTCTCTTCTCTTTCTCGGGCATTGCACGACGTTGTAATATGTACAACACTTGTTTAGATAAAAAGTATTAGTGGAGAGTATTAAGTTATTAATTCAGAAGACACGTTGTCGCAGTAAGTGTACTAAGGATTCAAGTAGTTACTATAATCCAGAATTTTCTCAAAACATGATTGTCGGGACGTAATCCTGCACGTAGTTCAGCATTATCCAAGCAAGCGGCTTCGCTCTGTTCGTGTGCGAAAAAATCCATATTACACGATCACTTTTCATAAAAAAGCGTAAGATTCCGCCGTTTTTATAAAAATTTAACTTGCAACTTACAAAATTCAGATCGAAACAATTCAATTAAATTGGATGCCTGTCAGAATTTTCGAGCTGAAAATTTTTTTATTTTTGTTTTACTTCACGTAAAACAGTATTTTCCAATTGTTTTTTGGAATTTCAATTCTCTTTCATGATGCTCAAATAATCTGTGAACGCTCCGATTTTTAATATAATTTTTTACATAATATAATTATATTTATTAATATTAATTTTTATTTTTAATGTATTTAATATTATTATAAATTAATTAATTATTTATTAAAATATATAACTATTTATTAATTAAACTACATAAGTTTACTTAGTAAAATAACTATTTATATATTTATATCACTATTTATATATTTATATCACTATTTATTTATTAAAATAAATAACCTATTATAAAATATATAACTATTTGTTTATTAAAATAAATTTACTTACAACCAGCAGCGGTAACTCTAGAAAATACTTATTAAAACATATAACTATCTATTAATTAAAATAAATAAGTTTACTTACTAAAAAAAACCATTTGTATAACTATATATATATATCACTATTTATTTATTAAAGCAGATAAGCTTACCTATTAAAATATATAACTATTTATTTATTAAAATAAATAAGTTTACTTACAACCAGTGGTAATTCTAGAAAATACTTTACAACTCTTGGGAATTACAAGCCAGCGTGAGTTGAGACTCTGGATTGTAGGAATAAACTGTTTCCTTTGGAATGTATTAGTTTCTCCGCTTCCATTTGCACAGAGGGCAGCACACACGCGCGTGCATTGCTCTCTATCTCCACTTCGGCGTTGACACGCGATTAAGGATCGCCTCGTGGTATATTACCGCGTCTGTCGCTCTCCAACTCGCATAAACTCGATTCCCGGTTGATTCGGTTGCACCCTGGATACCGGAAAAGTGTCCTCGTCCGAAGTCGGAAAGCGATGACGCTCGCGTGCACCGCGTCGCAACGTGACAATGGTAGCCTCGACGAGCAACTTCGACAAAGGGAAACGCGCGTTTATTGTCTCATTGTCTTCGCCTTCGCTCCGTTGCTCCCGATAATTTTGTCAATTCCATCCGATCCTGTAGACGTTTTCGATCGTCGTGCACGAAAAATCAATTCCCGTCGCTGGGGTATAGCTGCCGCTACGAGTCGAGACTTTTCAGCTGTGTTTACGGTTTATATTCGAAAATAATCGTAATTCTTATATTTTACCAGTTATAAACAGGTATATTGGTATATTGGGGAAGTTGACCTTTCTTCATTAGAGAGTGTATCCGTGTGTCCCGCTTGTTTTTTTTTTTTTTAATTAATTTAAACGAATATTAATATTATTGGAATCATTAAACGCAAAGGTCAGAGGTGAGAATTTCATTGGCATATCCTTCTACGGAATATTCTCGAAAACCCCTAAACCCCTTGCGCTGGCAACTGGTTCGCGGACCATAACGAGTGACCGAACCGTATAGAATAACTCGTCTTCTTTTTGAATTCATCGGTATATCACTGGATAGAAATTACCAAAAAGTAATAAATTTATTATTTGTCTTGCCTGGGTTATACTTAAATATACTTGAAACTGAGAAAATTTTTCTCGACGTGCATGGCACGTTATTCCAGCGCAAAAAGTTAACCACTTGCGCTGGCAACTGATTGCTGACCATAACGAGTGACCGAACTTTATACAATAACTCTTCTTTCTGAATTCATCGGTATATCACTGGATAGAAATTACTAAGAAGTGATAAATTTATTATGTTTCTTTTGCCTCGGTTGTACTTAAATATACTTAAAACTGAGAAAATATTGCAATTTTGGGACAAAAAATTCTCGACGTCCGTGGCACGTCATTCCAGCGCAAGAGGTTAACCACTTGCGCTGGCAACTGATTGCGGACCATAACGAGTGACCAACACCGTATAAAATAATTCGTCGCTTTCGTTTTGAACTCGTCGGTATGATATATCACTGGATAGAAATGATTGAGAAGTAATAAATTTATTATTTGTTTTGCCTCGGTTGTACTTAAGTATACTTAAAACTGAGAAAATATTGCAATTTTGGGACAAAAAATTCTCGACGTGCGTGGCACGCCGTTTCAGTGCAAGAGGTTAAACGTGTTACACGTTTATCGTGGAATCATAATTCCGCTAATTATTAGGGTCTTAATTAAAAATGTTGGGAAACACTTGTGTTAATTTTATAGATTATACTTTGTTCAATCCTCGCCTTTGCCTGATTTCGTTTGTAGTCGCGGTCAACGACTTTTGTATTCTCACTCATTCCTAATCCTTGGATAAAAAAAAAACGAAATTAAATTTAAAATCCTAATTTTACAAAGATTTGAACGTAGCTCGCGAGCTTGACACACCCGATTAGATTAATCGAGATCGATGGACTCGCGTATGGGTGTTCCCGGATCGGGATCTACTTGTAAGACATCTGAATATTAAATTACAAGACTGGCAGCCTTGATTCACCGACAAACATGTAACTCCTTGTCAGTTGAACGATGTTTTTCAATTGCACAC